GTTCAAGCCTAGAGATGTCAATTTTAAATTGTGAGCTATGCAGGCATTCGATAGGCAAGATAAATTCCAAAATGAATTTCTTTCTGTATGGCATTAACTTTTTTGTGTGAGCTACATTCTCTAATCATTAATTGGTTATGGGCCATATGCAGGTTTGCCAGTGGCTGGCAGGGCTCAAGTCAGCAGATGGAGATGGGGCCAAAATCAAAAGTGACCCTGGCTCTTTTATCTTTCTTCTGATGCCAATTGGCCATCACCGTGGGCTCCCTCTCCTTCCCCTGCCCACCCCCACCCCCCAACGCTTCCTTTCTGCCCAGCAGGCTGCTGGAATAGGGACAAATTAGCGGTGGTTTAAACTGAGAAGTGGCCAAAGACCACTTCCCCATTCATGTACATGAATTACAGTTCTGCCTTGAAGTGGTACTTTGCAGGCTTTTCTACTGCATAGAATAGGAAGATGCAGGAAAGATGTTCATACTGGGGCCTAACCATTGTGATGCAGTAGGCCCTAAATTAATTCTATGGTGCGGCATACAGATGTGCATAATGGAAATTCCGGGTGAAATTGTCATTACACTATTTCAAGAAGTCTGCTAAATAGTGTTGCTGTTTTAAGAGCCTCTCTTGCCTACAGTTTTTAATTAAAGTGTATTTATTGTGAGAGAGCGAGAGCAGAAAACAATAGCTATGATTTCATAAAAAAGAGTTCACAAAAGCTTTTGAAAACCAGCATTTGGATTGATAACATTTAAACAAAGTAGAACAGAACAAACTCAAAAGAGGCTGTCAAGAGGTGGAATTTTTCTATTGTTCTGCAGTACCCTCAAAAAACAAATATAAAATAAGCAGCCATCCCAGCAAGTGACTGTAGAAAGGCAAATAATGAAAAGCCCCCCTTTCCTTATATAACAATCCAACAAGTGAGCTAAAATAAACTCCCAGATTCTGAGTCAATCAGAAGGATATAGCAGCTCATCTTGCCTCCTTTTGAGCTTCCAGGCCACCGGAGGAAATGGTTCTGAATTGAACTGAATGGACCTTTGGCAGCACAAAGGCTTGCAGGAGAAGCCAGAAGCATCCAATGGCAGTCAGAACAAGGCAGGAAAAAATAGTACCAAGCATGTACCATGGGCTGGCACTCCTTTCTCCTGTCTCAACAAGGAGCTGAAACTAGTTGAAACCATGTGCAGCCTGACAAGATCTGAAGTGTGATCAGTCCCATGCCTTTGTCTGATTTTGCGGGGTGAGACTTCTGTGAAGTGGACCTTCTGCTGGGGATCCAGCGTCTTGTCTGAACCAGAATATGTTGCTTAGTTTATGTCTTGTACCATCAGGATCCTCCCTTACATGCTAGAAGGTCATAACAGGATCTAAAGCATGAAAGCGAACCTGTTACCCTCCAGATGTTGTCAATGGAGGATGAGCTCTTCCAAAGATAGGATAAGATGAGCTCTTCCAAACCTCACCAACCCAAACCAGCATGGCCAATGGGGAGGAATGATGGGAGCTGTACAGCATCTGGAAGGCTGTAGGTTCCCCTGAAGTGTTAAATGATCAGACTGGTCCAGACATACTCAAAAATGCACACACTGGGATGATGCACAGATGCCCCCTTGACAATGGTCCCTACTGGAAAATCAGTCGACCTTCCACAAATGGACCAGGTTTCTCTTCTGTGTAATGCTGCTTCTTTCAGCTTACATTTTATTTATTTATTTATTTATTTTTCTATTTATATCCTGCCTTTTTCCTACAAAGGGCTCAAGGCAGCTTACATCATTCTCCTCCTCCATCTTATCCCCGCAACAACAACCCTGTGAGGTAGGTTGGGCTGAGAGTCTGTGACTGGCCCAAAGTCACCCAGTTGGCTCCATGGCTGAGCAAAAACGTTGAGTGGCATGAACTTCATCTCCCAGGTTGTGCCAGGATTGCTGCTATGTTACAATATGGACACAGCGGGATAGAGAAAGATCACACTGGTAGCTTATTGCTTGCCATAATTCTGCTTAATGTTGCAATGGCTAAAGTATGAACTGTTCCTTCTGCCTTTGGTGTTGTCCACAGTGCTGACCATGGCATCTCCTGCTCCTCTTCTTTCTCACCAGTGCTGGCTGGGCCAGAGGGAGCAGCAGCCAAGCAGTGATGGAAGCAAGAGCACGAACTGTTACTATTTTGCCTTTTCAGGTTTATAATCTTGGTGTGAGGATACAGTTTAACATCCCCCTGACATTTGCTAGGTGTCAACAAGGGGAGGTTCTCAATTTCCACATCCTTTCTGTTTTTAGTATCTGTCCTTGGCAGTAGTTCCCTATGAGCTGTTTAATTTAATCAGTAGTTACACATCTGTTTCCATTTGTTTTAACAAAATATGATCTACAACATAACAGATATGAAGTGATATTGAATACAAGCTGTTTCTGTGTGTCTTTCAAGATAGCCTAATAAGAAGTGAAAACTAGTAAAAACGCAAGCTGTGGAAATGCCAAGATATTGAGCTTACACCTTGAAGTGATTAGGAGATGAGGATGCCCCTTTTAGAAAGAACACATTCAGTTTTCTTTCTAAAATGTCATTGCTGGCATTTCCTAGAAAACTTCCTTCTCTTTGCAGTGTCTACCACTTCCCAACTATCTCTCAAATTTCATTAGTTGTCATGCAGCAGCAACTAAATCTGAGACCAAGAAGCTTGTGACAAAGGAGCTAAACCAATGCTAGTGAGGTTTTTCTTATGGCCACCCTGGGTTGAATGTTGGCTCTTGACTGATGTCAAAAGGTGCATTTCATGAAATGTTGAACAAATCTCAATGAAACAGGTAGACGGCATGTTTGAGAAACTGATGCCTTGATCTGGGTGAAGTCAGATATCATACGAAATTAAGGTGAGTCCTCTCAGAGGTTTTGACTGCTGAAAAATTCAGCTCTGCTAATAGGCTCCATAATCTAGTTACATAGGACTGGTGATATTATAGCTTCCCACGCCACTAATACAATTGTTTTCCAATAAATTTGGGGTAATGCACAAAGAAGGAACCTGTGTTTCTAGGATCTCTATCTTTTGCTAACCTAACCTGATGCCCAAAATTTGTGTTTGACTTTAAGGGATAAAGTGTTATTTAGCATGTGTGAAACTGCATGCCTCTATCAGCTCAACATATTGATATCTTTATTCTGCAACCAAATAATCTTGAATCCAGTGACAGATATCTAATAAGGCACAGAAATTATTCTCTGCACAGTGTCCTGCTATGAGGAGAGGGGGAGTACTGATGGTACAATGCACTGATTCAAGGGAAGGGAAGAAAATGTTCCTAGAGATTGGCTTCTTCAAAATTACAATGGATGGAAGCATTTATTAACTGATACCTACATTCTGAAGTATAATACTATAGCACTATAATGAGACACCATTCAAGCAGGCGGCTGCACAGATCTTGGAATAAAGAATGGAAGTGGGATGCTTCTCTCCAAATTTCTGGCTCCACCCTTAAATTATACTGCCTTAGAAGAGTTGGTCACATAACCAACCAGTGGGAAGGTCCTCTGAAGGTGACAGACAGGCCGGTGGAATGGTATGTGCTGAACTGATTGAGAACAGCAGCCACTGCACTATCAATTCCAGTTATATGGAAAAAAATCTTTTTTTTATAAATAGGAAGATTAGTTAAAAAGAACTTGAAAGGGAGACTCATGAGTTTGAGAAATGAGAGGACCTATTAATTGTGAACTAAAAACAGAGCTTTGAGGAAGTCCATCCATCTGTTGTTGTTGTGAATTGATTACAAGGTCAGTAACTATTAAAGTATCTAATGTATATTTTTCTCTCTCTCTAAAGAGCCGGTACAACAAATTATTGAGGTAAAACCAACATTATAACAATTCATGAACACTGAACCACTAAATGGACATATCCCCAATTAACAGCCAGATTTTATGCCATAGCTGGGACAAGAGTTCTTATTGCCACCATTTTAAATCCTTACCAGTGGGTGGTACCTAATGTGAAGAAATCAGGTGACCAGAGAGATGACACAATGGCCACTTCCCTTATTCCTAACACTAGTCTTTTATAGAACAGGCTTAAGAAAGATGATAATGTTTTTGATAGAGGTCACATCTTATCATGTCCTGTCTGAACACAAATCTTGTCACTTATACATAATACTCTATAATAGAAACCTGGATATTTCCTGATATATATCTCTATATCCTCCTTTTTATATATATTCACTCACAAAAATGATTTGAGCATTTTTACAACAATCATAAAAACAGACAAAAATGTGTTTGCAGAGCATTTTATTACTCCAAGCCATTTTCCAATGTGTCTCAAGATGGTAAAATGTTTTACAAGAGCTGCAGTTATGGTGTCAAAATAATTGTCATAAACTCAAAATATTAGGAAAGTACCACAGGATGCCATGGCAAAACTTCAGGCAAAACTTTAGTATTACTAAAAACTAATGCTTGTTGGTGTTGTGGGGTATTCTTCTACCCCATAACATTTTACATTTCAGTCCCTGGTTGCACACTCCCAAAGGAAAATGCATGACTTGTGCCAGCCTATAAACGCTCTCAGTGCTTCAGCTTGTTTCTTCTGAACAGTCTTTTTTTTGAGGGGGGGGGCAGTCTGTGGAAAACCTCTGAGCCCCAGGAACATTGCCTTATTTGGGGGACATAAAACACCCCAGTTTCAACATTTGTAGATCCTGGGGAAAAATTATGTCCCTTATTTGCCGTTGCCAGAATGAAAATGGTAAGTAGTAAAAGAATGCTATCTGGGAACTTATACAGGCAACAGAAAATGATGACGTCATGGGAGGACTATGCTGCAGGTCCATCTCTGTGTAAATTCTGCAGTCGCCCTTTATATGGCCCTGTTTTAGCAGTGTTAACATTTATGGGAAATTGTTGTGTGTATAAAAGAGCAACTTAGTTCTGATTCTGCGAGGTGCTTCAAAAATTATCTTTAGGAAAATATCACTCTAAGTAAATGTCATCAATCAGTCTCTTCCTTCTGCTGCATCATTACTGAAAGAATTTCGGAAAGTTCTTTTCAGCTGATAAGAAAATAGAAATAAAAAGAGTCAAAAGCTGCGTAAACCAAGTCAAGTCAATACTCCTAATAATATAGGATACATAACATTATTAATATATTGCATTTATATCCCCACCCATCTTCCTCTTACAAGGAACCTAGGTGGCTGAAAAGATTCTCCTCCTCTCCTTTACATCCTTATAACAACAAACCTCCCAGGAAGGTCAAGCTGAGAGCTTGTGACTGGCTCAAAGTCACCCTGTGAGCTTTATGGCTAAGGGGTGACTAGAACCCAGATCTTCTGAGTCCCAGTCCAGCTCTCTAATCACTAAGCCACACTGGCTCCAATACACTGGTGCCACACATTAAATGGCAGAAACATCTTGATGGATGATTGATGAAGATTAGATGAAGATTGGACAGCCATCTGAGTCGGATGGTGTAAACTGGTGTCCTGCAACAGTAGGGGGTTGGTCCTGATGGCCTACATGGCCCCTTCCAACTCTAGAATTCTATGAGTTCTATGAATATTATTAAGTCTTTTTTGGATAATCTGGCTGGAGTGAAAGGCTGTACCAGAAATCTATAAAGCTTGTTGGAAAACATAGCACTAGATTCTTAAGCACCCTCCCCAAATCCCTGGAATTCCTCCCAATAAAGAGAGAGAGCATTCTCTGTAATGGTTGTAGCAAAATATGTTTGGAATACAATAGTGAAGAGTTCATAATACCAAGGGTAAGAATATACACAAAGTCTGCATCAAGTTGGTAGTTTGCAAGACATCGACCCAGAATACACAGTGTGGTGGGTACATTACAATTTAGCTCATGACCAGCTTGATGGGAAAAAGGGTTAAATGGACTCCACTGGATTGTGCTGTATACCACTGCAAACCCATATTTAGCTGGGTTCATGGTGTCATATTCTATCGGTGGCAAATCTGCCAATCACTTCACATGAATGGCTCAGAAGAAGTTACAAGTTACTGCATAAACACTTTTAAAATGAAACCACATGTCTGAGATTTATCTCTGTCAGTGTAGTATGGACCATGAAAAGCAAACTGAAAAGCTTCAGTTTTACTGTCAAAGCAGATAGGACGTTCAGGAATTTCTCCTGTACTGCACATAAGCAAGAAATGCCCTAACACAGGGATGGGCAGAAGGTAGATCTCCAAATGTTTCAAACTTCAACTCCCAGAAGCCCCATCACCACAGCCAGTGGTCAAGAATGTTGTGAGTTGAAGTCCAAAACATCTGGAAATCTCCAACTGTTGCTGAGCAGAAAAAGAACCTTATCACAAATAGCTGAAGAGCAAAAGTTTAACGAAAGGGCACTCACAGATTTTTTTTACCAGAGAAATCTTAAACAGTTGTGTTGCAGTTAAATGTGCTAATCTGTATAAATAGCTTAAAATCATTCTATGCATTCTTGATAGATCCTTTGTACTCCAGAGTCTAGTCTAAGGGAAATAAAGTTCCATGCAGTCCTGTCACTGATGTTGATCTCACACAGCAGGTCCAGCACAAGGTAATCCAGCCAATTCACACCCCCTCTCTGCAGACTATAACTATATATTTAATAAATGAACATTCACTGCTCTTTAATGATGCCAAATATTTGACAGTGGAGGCAGCTGCTTCAGAATGTAGTCTTTGTGAACTAAATATGACCCCTTCCTATGTATGTGGATAGTCTTTTGAGCTACAGCAACGAGATGTGAGTTGGCATCTCAGTGTGTTAAGGGGAGCACACTGTGTATGACAAGGGCATGTTTACAGCAAAAGATGCTGTATTACTGCCCTGCTGCAGGACCCAGACAAGTAACTGGTGGCTTGTGGGATGGATCTGACCCACAAAGCAATTTATTCAGCCCCTGGCTTCCCAACTAAATTCTATTCAAGGGTAGTAAAATGTTTGTCCATGGTTTCCCTTCTAAAGAAAGCTGAAATGATGTCAGGCTGTAAGGAATAGAACTATGACACATATTTGGATGTAAATGTCAGATTTTCATGGCATCCCACAGCCTGAGCCCATGAACACAGAATGGCCCAAGACAAACATCAAGATGGGACCCCTCCCATTCTATGTACAAATGCCAAATGGATGGTAGCTGAATATTTATTTCTTCAGCCCCGTTACTGGCTCTGTGCAGCAGGCTAGCTTAGGGGAATAGGACAGACTGTGTGGTTCACAGCAATCTCATCCAGCATTTTGCTGCCACTTCCTAACATCTGCAGCGTGAGGCAAGTACCCCAACTCTGAGAGAGTGAGTAGGGGCAGCTCTGCACAAGCTGCTTAAGTGCAGACCTCCTTCCACTATACAGTACCCACCTTGTTAAGGAGTTCGCTCACTCTCTTGTCATTGCTCCCACCCAACACTAAGCAAAGAGAACCAGAAAGTAGGTTTCCCATCCCTGCTCTAGGAACCAGATGCAAATTCATTCTTACGTTCTGTAGAAAGGCCTTGAAATCAATTTTTGGCTGAGATGCTCCTTTGACTTCTTTTTTACTGGTGTGAAGTTCCTTGGGGTCGGATGCTGAGCTGGTCTTGACTGGTGGTAGAGCTGAAGCCTGCAGCTCAGGTTGTCTGAGCAAGGAAGGGCTGGAAGGGACTGTTGCGCTCCTACTGGGAGGCCTGCGCTGGATCGCCTTTGAACACCCAGCCGCAGTGGTGGCATCTGGAGGCAGGTGTCTATCGCTGGCCTCACTTCCTTCTCTCCAGTCAGAAATCCCAAGTTCTGAGCAGAGACGCGACTGTTCACCTAACAGTTGATCCAGCTGCTGCAAAGGGAACAGAGATGTGCTCCATTGCAATTAATACACCCATTAGAAGACATAAACTAAACAACAGGTCAAGTCAGTGCCGTGTAGGAATGCTTCTACCACCTTGTTTACAATGGGAAAAATGGCAACATCATATATTGATCCTGATTGCTTATGTTCAGAACCCTCCTGCATAAGGTTTGATGACAGTTACAGAAGTGCTGTGCTGAATTTTATACGTTTTGCTTTTTTGTCCCAAATTGTGTCTTTTTGAAGAGGAAGAACATTTGTCCAAAACCTAAGTGTATTACGTGAACATTATTTCTCATGGTTGAGCTCTGTAATGGGACACTGGTTTTTCTGTGGACAAAAGCTAACACTGGTTCTGAAGGCTCCACAGAACTCTGCTTGAACTTGTCTATCCCAACTCAGGGAGTCGTCTGACCTGAGGTAAACTTCAGGTGCAACTCGTTTATATATTTTCTGTAAATCCGGAGACTAGCTGATGGGATGAGTAGACATCTTGCCAAGCTTGTCCCCAGTCCAGTCTAGATTCACATAGTCTTGGGGAGAAAATGCTACCTGAAAATGCTATCTTAAAACCTGTCTCAGCTTTACTCTGGCCAGGATGTGTAGCTTTCCCAAGCTTGGACATTCAAGCTGGGGTATGCCTGGCTCCTTAGATCCCAAAGAGTAGAGGTAGCACTTAGCCTTAGAAACCTGCCTTTGGGAGCTTCTGCATAGCTCTTCCATGCATGAAAAGGAGAAGGAACTCAGGGAGACACTCAAAACACACTGATGCAGGAATACATTATGACCATAACAAAAGCAAACACCGAAGTTTCCAAAATGTTGGTTTGTGGTAGTTGCCTTCCACATTATTCCCGGACAGCTTTTCTTAATAATGTTATCTGGCTGGCTGCTCAATCATTTCTTTCCTCATCTCAGAGCCGAAACCCTTGATGGCCAACAGAGGGGAAGAGGCCACCTCATCACATTGGGATTTTCTCATACCTGCAGTATCCTGTTTCTACTGTGCAATCCTGCTCTTGGCTGTTCCATATCAGCTGTTATAGAGAAGGATTACTGGCCTTTTTTTTTTGACCCATGACAGGTATCCTGGAATTTGCTTCTGGGAAGGCATCTGGCCTTCGCTGGGCAAGACCAACCATGTCTTGGCATACTCTACAAAGTTATGACGTCTATGAACATCTGTCATTCACTGTTGGTCCTATATACATGTCCACTGCTCTCCTGTAATGGCATTTCATGAGGCCTAGTTGATTGTTCATACCTTGCCAGACCAAAGGCTTGGCATCCAAATTATGTGGACTCAAGTCTTTTAGGGTGCTATGGACTGCATGGAATGCACTGGCTACAGTTCCAGCTACAATAATTGTCCAAAGCCCCCCAAAGGGATCCAGAAGTAGCTACACACAGAGCCCAACACCATTCCTCACGAGGAGAGTGTTCGAAGAACATACCATCAGAATCCCCTCCCTAACCTGGCGAGCACGCTCCTGCAGCTGCCCTTCCAGTTCAGTGACCTCTCGACGAACTGCCCGCCGTAAGTCCTGCAACTGCCGTCTTTCCTCTCTAGGGCAGAAGAAACACAACCTTCAGTGAAGTTTACTGTTTCTTTCATATCATTAAAATCTGTTTCATAGATAAAATTATGTTGAACAGTAATTAAAGTTGCTTGAAGAGCTGATCGCAGTTCCTATATTTGGAAGCGCTATGAATCATAACCTCAAATCAGGGCTGCAACATGCTAATCCTAGTAATTTATTGTTCTTGGTCAATGTTAAGTCTTGCATAGATTTTCAAGGTAGTATGTATCCACAAACCAGACTGCTGCATGCATTCTTACTCATTCGCAGATCATGCTAGTTGTACAGTGGTACATAGTATTTGGCCAGGATCCCAGGGCTAACTGTTGGAACCAATTAGCTGTGAGACCAGGATACCTGGCAGGCTACCTTCCACTGTGTATAAACAGCCGACCTTTAAGGTGGCTGCACAGGTCATTCTTTGCTGCATCATAAAAGGTGGCATTTTGAAATGCACTTTCTCACCCAGGCTTTCTCTGGCGTGTAGTTAATTGCAGTTTGTCAAATGCTGCTTCCTTTTACTGCTCCTAGCATTGTTTTTATTATTCTTGTAGATGGAATTTTTTAACAGTGCATTGTAAATGTTTTTAAAATAATATTCATATCTAAAATGCTTAGAGAGTTCAGTGTACTCAGCCGTATATAAGTACTACTAACTAACGAACAAATGGTTGGGTTCCCTGCATTGCACCCTAATGATATTACAGATGGTGAAAACCTGTAGAGGTAGTCAAAGCAGGTGTGCCATAGAACAGGTGGGAAAGGGGGCAGAAGAAACCCTTTGTGCCTTTTATGCCACTGTCATCATTGTTATGTTTAGAGATCACTCTGTTCGGAATACTAAAATTTAAATGCTATGTATAGTTTTGCAGATTGTTGTGCTACAAAGTATGGAGTGACCCAAGCTCCATTGTGCTGCAAAGAGTTGGCTGCTTGCATACACAATGCCATTACCGTCCTTCATCCGACATCTGACTGGAGAAAAGTGCCTCCTGCTCTATCAGGTGAAGTTCAATCTCATCCAGCCGTTCTCGAAACTTTTGGCACGAATTCTTCATAACTTCCATTTCATGGACTGTGCACTAAACATAAAGATCAAAAAGAGACCATGATTGACTGGGCAGCCATAGCTCTTCAAGCTAAGGAGAGTGATTTGGGGAGAAGTTCTCACCCAAGAAGCTCCACACCCTGGGGCAGGCTCTGCCTAAGCAGGCTTGCTGATGGAAGTCTACTGGAACCCATGCCTACACACGTACACACACCTGCATGCACACATGTCAACATTTATAAACTCAGCCTCATAAGGAAAGGGAAGAGCCCACAGCCCAGTGGTGGGGCACATGTGTTGAGTGCAGAAGATCTCAGTCTCAATCCTCAGCCTCTCCTGGTTGGGTTAGTTTAACAACTGTACCCCAAATTCTGGCCTGGGTCTCCGACTCCTAAAAATGTAGGCCTTGCTTGGCTGGGATGAGCTCTAGATACCTTGCCTGCTTTATTCAAAGTGCAGCACCTTCGTTATCTCTTCCTGGCATCCCCTGAATGCCTTCAAAAGAGAGAGACACGTTCTTGGTTTGATTGATGGACAGAGGACAAACACACCGCCATGCTGGCTTCCTTGCCCAGACTCCACATCAGTCCTGCTAATAGCCTCCTGCCCTCATGTAGGAGGCAGTTGATGAGCCAACTCAGGCTACACCCTTTAGTCTTGGCAGCCTCAGCAGAGATGAGATCCCACATTTGGGAGCCTTGCCAGGCTGAACAGGGCCCCTCCTCACCGATTGTGCCTGCCTGACTCCCTGCACCTCAGTGCGTATTGACTCCTGTGTACTCAATGCTTATGCTGCCTCCTCTATTTATAATTCATGTCTCCCCAACATACCGCCTGTATGATCGTGGTACATGTTGCTGTAAACATGTAGCCTGTATAAATTAGTGTTTCCCATGTGCTCTTAATTCAAGGAGGCTCTGCTGAGCCCATCCATTCCAGCTAATGACAGCCTACCTTGCAGGGGTTGCTGGGTAAGCAACTTGCTGCTAAGTGCTTTGGGAACCTAGCATTTTGTTGCAATAATAAAGTGTCTCCTTGTAAGTAAACCTGGAAGCTGGCATTATAATTTCCTTGGGAACACGGAAACCTCTTGCCCCTGGCCAGGGCAATACAGTTAGGGACGGAATCCTTCCTGAAACCTTTGGGATCCACTGGCAGGGAGCATCAGCAATGCTGGTTTAAATGGTCCCATGGTCTCACCTCCGGATAGGACTGCTTTTTTCTATTCTTGAGACCAGAACCTTGGAAGGGGGAGGTGCCTGTCTTGAGATACTAAAAAAAATAGTTGTGAGCCTGATCTTCCGAGTTCCCCTGGCATTTCACTGACATCTCCTCTTCTGTCTTTCTACAAGATCCACCCTCTGGTTACCAATATCTGTCTCTCTTCCTGGCCATTCACTACCCTACTGGAGGGGTGAGAAAGGCCTGGCTATCTCCATGCTTGGCTTCCTGTTACATCTCTACATGTAATGCTCTGATATGGGAGACTAGCTTAGGGATGTGTTTCTGAGTTCTTTGTTTTAACTTGTAGCCATGCATGAAAATGGCACATGCCACAGGAGGGAAAAAACAGTGGAAGAAAGAAAACCAATATGATTAAATCTGGCTTGTATGCTTGATCCTATTTAACAGATCTTGGCACACTGGAGTCTTGTCAAGCCATTGCATTACTCGAAGGATTCCTGAGAGGAGCAATTGTATTAGACACTGTAAGAGGAAAAACTAGATTGAGACTTTGTCAGTGGAAAGAGCACCATGGGGTTGTGAGTGGTTTATGAAAGATTGCCATCTTGTGGACATTGACAAGGGTCAGGGCAAGTCTTGAAAAAATCATGCACTTAAAAAAAAAGTCATGAATGGCATCTCAGTGTTGTGAGACCCATTTGCTCCTCCTTGATAACTATGTTTTTTCACTTTGAAACCCGCCTCCACACCCCGTCCCAGCTGCAATCTGGGTTTCAAATACAAAGGAATCACTGTAGGGCAGTTAGTTAAGGCCTCCTTGAAACATGAACCCGTGCGATCCAAAATACGGAGAAAACTTCACTGGAAACATGCCTTTATACTGGCTGTCTTTATGGAAAAACTGATCATATTTTATGTGGAAACCAAATATATACCAAGTCCTAGGCAAATAGCAGTGTTGTATTCAGTGAGGACCATGGCCCACAGCTTCACCATCCACCTGTGTATGTTTAGCCAAATTTCTAAATGGAGCCTATGCATGTACAACTTGCATCAACATAGTATATGCTTCGTATGCACAATCTGGAACCCAGAAAAAGGCAGGGTTTCCGTCCTCACAGGGGGAGTGTGCACATGTATGTGTTGTATGTACACAGACAAGGGGAACAGGACCTGGCGGCTGAATTTCATTGGAGAAGCTTCCAGGGACTGCATTCCGGTGGTGATATGGCCAAAAGCAAAAAGGGTGAGGCCCAATACAGGCCAACCTTGGCAGAAGCACTGTGCACATTTAAGAATTGCAAACAAAGCCTTTACACAAACTGGGAAACTACCAAAAGTTAGATGGTTGGGGAAATGGGGCATGTCCATCTGGAACCCCAGAAGCCAGACTGGGGACCCAGGAGGGCCGGTTTTGTTCCCCAGTCCTGAGGGTCGACACCTGGATGCTCAGGGACTTGGCCAGACATACACGTTGGGCAAGGGGAAGGCCAGCAGGTATGAACTGGACTCTGCCACAATGCATTCCACTGTAAATGGAATCATTCCTGAATGGGGCCACCACCATTTGGATTTATCAGCCTTTGATTTACAAGAAAGATCTGAGTGTTTCCCTACCCTTCCCTCCCACCAGGAAAAAGATCAGAAAGGGGAGCAAGGACTTGTGGAACCAGATCCAAAGAGTCACCATTTCAAAGAATCTGGTGGCAAATGATGCGCAAAACCTCTTTCTGAAACACTGGAAAGGTGCTGCCAGTCAGAGTGGTGAATACTGGGCTATATGACAAATCGTCTGAGTTGTGGCAGATCAGCCTATTAGTTCTTCACTGAGCTGGGGGAGGTGAAATTGGCAACAGACTCAAAGGAGTCCAGGTTTCTCAGGGTCTGCAGCAGGCTGTCTTTCCCAGGTCACACAGAGCTTGAGGACCTTGAGTACCAATATTTTTATTCTGCACATTTTGTTGCAAGTGTAGCCACCAAAAAATGGGCAAAATAAAACATCAGACAAAACCGCACAGATCCTCCCTCCCCAGAATAAAGCATGAAAATACATGCTATGGAGGAGTTTGCATGTTTTGGACCAATTTGTGTGTCACTCTGGTGATTTGCACAAATTCCAAGTCCACAAATTGGCGGACAACACAGTGAAAACTGCCCTGAGAATCACTGGTGGAGCAGCTTTCTCGCCATACACATGTGCCTAATCTGGGGTTCCCTGATTTTTTTAGACCTTTCCTCTATCTCAGTTATTTGATAGAATATTTTTTTCTGGTAAAATCAGCAAAATCCTTGCTAGCTAGTAGCCCTAACAGTAGGCTATTCAGAAGGACTCACAGAAGAAATGTTTCTCATTGCTGTGTCCTGCAGTAGCTTTAGTGTTTTCAGAAGCTGTAGCTCTGTGGAGGTATGAGCTGAACAAAACTCCATGGAACATTTGCATGAAGGAGCAAAGGGCAACGGCCACATCAAACAGCAGTGGCGGGTGTTCAAAGAGCAGCAATGGCCTCGGCACTGGACGCACCAGGCATTAAAAGGCTCGTGGCAATAAGATCTGTACTTTCCAAAAAGTCCTGTATCTAGAGAGGCAGACTTCACAAGATGTCCCCGTCCATGAAATGAAGGAAGACAGTGAAACGGGGGCACTCTCTCTTTCTTTCTTTGACTCCTGTCAGTTTGAATGCAAGCTTCCCGTGTTTGTTTTTCTTCCCACTTGGATATATCCTGTTCCAATGTAATTAGAGACTCATCCTTGGAGCATTGGGAAACCTTGGATGAGAAATCCAGTGAGGGACCTTTGGCTGTCATTTCAACAGATGGAATGCTCTGCATATTTGACATCAGTCTTGAGGGCATCTGGACAGTGACAGATTTCAAAGGGTTGAGGTTCAATTCGAAGCTGGGGAAACACCCATCTTCCTCCAATTCTGTGCCTGTAGGTGACAGATCCAAGGAGCTAACTTCTCCCTTGGTAAAGCAGTAAGGGGAAAGGCTAGAGTCTTGAAAAGCGCTTCTTGGAATAACATTGATTTCTCGTTGTGCAACTAGGCTATTATGCTCCATTTTGGAGGCTCTAGCTATTGCCGAATGTCTAAGTGCACCATCCAAATCCACATCCTGACAATCACTTGTGATATCTGTGATAGGAATGGGGGAGTCCAACTTTTCTGAAGCCTTCAAAGTTTCCAACTTTCCATCCGCACACATGGCAATGCCTTCCAGAATGCCTTCTTTACATACATCGTTATGGTTGCCTTCTTCAGTCCCAGGTTCTTCACATCCCTGTCTGTCTTCAAAGTTCTGGCCCTCACTAAGTCCTGTAAGAGTCATGGCATGTTCCTTTGCAGGACCAGAACTTACAGTTGAGTGCATTTCACTGCAGGCTGAAAGGCAGTTCCCTTCTGGAGAGCTAATATCAACCCGATGCCTGTTGTCAATATGACAGCATTGAAAACAGCCTTGCCCACAGCTGCCTCCCTTCTCCATCTGTCCTCCTCTCCTGTGCATCTCCTTCTCATCCATCTCAGCACTTTCAGACCGACCACTTAAGGTTTCATACAGATCCTCTTCTTCATTTATGGAATAAAAGACTTCCTCTCCCTGAAAAGTGTGTTCCCTGCTCAGGCTGGGTAAGAATACACCAACGCGGCCATCTGCTGTTGCTGTGTTAGCAACAGGCCCCTCTGCATCCGGCTGAAGATCCCAGCTAGTCAGAGGCGAATCTTTCCTGTGTCGCAGAAATGCTTGGCAATCATGAGGATTGCAGCCAAGTCTCAAATTTCCAGGCAGAGACAAGCCCTGAAAGAAAAAGATACATCTGCATCAAGACTACCCGGGGTTCGCTCCAAAGCAAATTTGGATTGAGAGAAATCTGGTTAATTCACTGGGAACTAGGCCACAATCCTGTACCCCTTTCCCTGTGTGGAAGCCCCATGGACTGCTGTGGTGCTTACTTCTGAGAAGATGTGTACAGGACTGCTGTTCCTTTGGATCCAGCCCATTGTTGTGACATAATTACTTAGTTCAGGATCTCTCTGGCCTTCTGACAAATTAATTAAAAGGAACATTGATTATATTCTTTCCGTGCATACACTTATAGAACTGGCTTCTTAATGCAGGTGCATTAGATTGGGCCCTGTGATTGTACCAAGGCAGCCCACTCTCATTGGAGACCTGCCTGGTCAGCTAGAGAACCCCTTGAAGGGACAAACCCTCTACAGCAGCATTCCCCAACCTAGTGCCTTCCAGATTTTGTGGACTTCAGCTCCCAACAGCAGCTAGCATGGGCAATGGTCAGGATTGCTAGGATGTGTAGTTCCAACTGCCAAGTCTGCTCTAGAGTTTTGGTAGACTGGTCACTGCAGTTAGCACATGCAGTTGGCATTGTGTGAGGATCAGAAGAGATCTTCTGGCCAAACCCACTCATGGAAATTGGGGATTAAGGCTTTCAGGTCATGGAGCATAACTTCCAGAAAGGCTTTTAAGACCTGGCACTTACTTGCATTGGAAAATAACCCCTGAAAATTCTGGGAAGCGAGACCTGATACTTCGCAGCAATGTCCAAAGCTAGATTTAGGATGAAAACAATGCACCCACCTCAGGGTCTACAGAATGCCTTTCTTCCAAGCCACCGTTCTTGTATATATGTATTTATTTGTACTATTAGTATTTATTTGTATGCTTTGGGCTATTTTTATACCACCCAATGTTAAGAAGAATTTAAAACACACACACACACACACACACACACACACATTTTCCAAACATTCAGTATTTTATGTCAGTTACAGCTTCTCACCCGCTACACACCTGTCGTGGCAAAGGGTCCAAGGGATCTTCCAGAAATCCACTGCTGTCAGACTGGCTACTGTTAGTTCTTGTCACCATCGCATCTATAGTTAGAAAAATAAAAGCGGGGAGAAATCTAATTGAAAAATGTAACTTATGAGTTATATTTCTGATGGTTTCAACATGTGCTACCCATGGCAGCCAAGAGATTTGGGTATATGGGGAGGAGTTAGAATTTTCTCATTTTGACTTTGTTTTTTGGTCCTAAAGCCATTACCTTGAGCATCTCCATGTGTAGCTACCATGACTTTGTTCTGAAGCCATATAACAGCAGTCAGCCATGTGTGCCACTCCAGATTCAGTGGGACTGTAATTCCCATCAGCCTTTACCAGCATAGGGATGATGGGAGAAGAAGCCTGAAAGCATCTGGGGGACACGCAAACACATATCCCCTTATCCCTGCCATATAGGATATGAGGAGCACCAGCTCAAGGAAGGGGAGACAATATGGCTGCACGTCCATGCCACTTCCCCATGCTCAGCATGAGGAAAAGCCCATGTGAGTCCAAACTGGCAAGATCCCAGTCATCTTTCGGGAGCAGCATGCTGGTGGCGGGCAAAGCCAGAGCCAGAAGTGGGTAAGACCTTCCCCCCCTCTCTTTCTGCCACCACCCTTTTCTCTCTCCCACTCTGCCCAGTAGACTGCCAGAGGAAGAACAGGGGGCACTTGCCAGATATCTAAACAAGTCACTTGCAGAGAGTTTCTGAAATTAGACCAAGTGCCTTATGAAATTAAGCTGAAGGCCACTGGCCGCCTACCCCAGTTTACAGGCCTACCAGTACCTGAGTGGTGGCAATTATCCACAAGTCCTCCTTATTTCCTGATTGCTGATTCTGGTTGGCCAATGCATGCACAGGAAGAGCCTTTGCAATTTGGCACACCCAAGAGAAGGTGGGCTTAGCAGAGTCATGAGATGAACCCATGAGAAAGTGGTTGGTTCCTACTGCTAGTTATAAATTATGTCTCTGATAGAACAAAAATGGGTTCATGCACACTTGGTGTGAAGAAGCTTTTAGACCAGGGCTGCAAGTTTAGCTGTTTATCACACTGCCCCCCTTCAAAAGTTGCATTCCCTTTGGAACAGTGGATTTCTTCTAATCTTGTTAAGTCTTTATTTTGCTCTTGCACTTCATTTAGTTCATTATTAATCCCAAATGTCCAACAGCCACACTAACAAATCTGAGCACAGTTATATAACTCTCCCCTACAGAACATTTAAAAAAACTGTCAAAACAAAACTCATGATAGCATATTAACTCTAAATAATCTCCACACCAACACAAGCACAAGGCTCAAAGAGGAATACATTGCACTGCTCTAAAAGTAAGGGAGACCGATCCTTGGGGTAGCCAATTGTCTAAATTTACAGGGGTCAGCTTTCTATTTGAAGGTGTTCTTGATCTGATAGGCATCAAGTCTGTCAAAACCCAAGGAAGACAAGTCTGGTCTGAGGAAAAAGTGGGAGAATGGGGCCTTGAAGTTACCCATCACTAGTGAGTATACGGGCAGCAGGCCTGGGAGATATGTGGCTACAGCCTTCACTACTCCAGCGAAATGTCTTACATTTCTGTTAAAATAATACTTATTGTTTCCAACTCCAATACTTAAAATTTACATAGGCAAAGGTTATGCAGGTTGTTGCCCTCTGGTGAGGCAATCTTGAAGGCAGTCCAGAAATGAGTATCACTGAAAAGCACCGATCCATCCATTGTTGTAATTACTATACTTCCCATAGCTGAAACTCTCAGGGAAATTCACAACATTTCAAGTCACCCATCCAGATTTCAACCAGGCCCAGCTCTGCTTAGCTTCCAAGAATTAGGCAAGATCAAACACTTCAGGCTATATGGAAGCCAGTTGGTCAACAAAGATTTTTAAAGCTATGATCCCATACAGATTACTTGGCAGCAGGCCTCATTCAATTCAGTGGGACTTATTTCTAGGTAGACTCACAGAGTTTTGTGCTGCATTGCAGGAAGACTCAGGGCTGATATACATGGGTACCTTTCCACTATGGGATGGATTGTGCTGCTATTTGTTATTCATGCAACTGTTACTTGTAGGTCACATTGTAAAGAAGAATGTGTGGCATTTGATTTTTCTTTACATGCCGTACTCAGAGCCTGGTAGCATCGATTGCAAGAGAATCACGTGGGCAGAGCTTGTTCCTTCCTTCTCCTGTGTGATGCATCCAGCTGTGGAGGATGGCACTTTCCAGATTCTTTTAAAGCACTGTGCTCTGGGTGGGTGGGCAGGTGGGTGGTGGGAACGGCGAGTCCTGATTATAAAGAAGAGATGGCCAAGAAGGGGACCACTTGCCACAACTGCTTCTGCATGAAATGGGGGATACCAGGTTTTCTCCCTACAGAGCCATTTCCTACCCTTCACTCACTGTTGCCCACTGCCAGCTGGAAAAGTCACAATACTGTGAAGGTTGTACACTTTTGAATATGTACCAGAAAGAACCCACAAGATTCTTTTTTTTTTTTTTAAGGAAAAACACCTGCTAAAAGCTCAGTCAAGAAATCTGGAAACTAATGGTAGGAGCATGTGAGGATATTGTGTTGCAGAAGTGGGTCAGGCATTTGAATGATGAAATGAACGATGCCCATAGATCCCAGTTATTCTCCTTTCCTTCTTAAACCCGCACTGCAATATTAGCCAAATTAGCTCCATCCAATTATATGAACAGGACAAACTGGTTGTAGTGGGGCAGGGAAAGAAACCAAGTGCCTCATCCTTTAAACCTTCTTATGGAGGGCTTGAGATTTCGCTGCTTAAATCTTTCCTTACACAGAGCTGTAACAGCACATTCCAAAAGGTCCACCGTGACAGATATTGCATGTCCCAGGAAAGCTACAACACTAGATGATGGTGCACGTCAAACCCCACGGAAATCAAGCGACAGGGAGCAGCACAAAATAATGGTCAGCAGGTGGCAGCAACAGACAAACCTGCGACGTAGGACTTGCAGTACAGGAACATTTCCAGAAATGCAAATGCTTTTCTTGGAGGTTCTTGGAGGCTCTGGCCCTTGTTTCAGAATGTACAGTTCCCAGCTGGTTGTAGAAATAGCAAAGGAATGGAAATCTTCAAAAGAGTAAGGCTACAATCCAGTGCAGTCATACTTACCTCAATGGGACTTACTTCTGAGCTGGTCTTCCTAATTAGGATGAAGTGCATTGTGTTTTTATTTAAATCATAATAATTATTATTTTTAATTTGCTGCTAAACATATAATTAGATGGACAGATTTTATGCAAATCTGTCTTTTGGAGTGATTTATTTGCTCTTTTCTAGCAATGCATAAGCGGCTGCTCTAGGTCCATGACTGCAATTCATTTTGAAAAAGTCGTTCACATAGTTACAAACTGTATGACTGCCATTGTGTCTATTTGACCCCAGGAACATTCCCACATGATTGGTCTACAGCCAGCTGGTATGAAATCATTATTCAATGGCTGCGCCAGGATTCAGGCATCATCCTTGACACTCACTGGATGACTTTGGACCAGTCACCTATTTTCAGCCTAAGCTACTTCTCAGGGTTGTTGTGAAGGAAAAAACAGAGAGCAAAAGGATTCTATAAACTGCCTTGGGTTCCTTGGAAAAAGGCAGGACAGAAATGTAATAAACGAAAGAATCCTACTGCAAGATAGTACTCCTGTTGCAGACACTTATTACTCTCCACCCCCAATATTGAACATATGGTTTGTACCCAAGACAGCAGGTCAATGATTGCAAGGGACAGAGGATAAATTCATGGGGTGCATATTTAAGGTGAACATGCCTAATTCCATACAGCCAAAATTCAGTTAGGGGTAAACCCACTGAAATCAATCAGACTAAAATTTGCCCTAGTGCCATTGATTTGAATGGGTCTAAAGGATGACGAAATCTGGATCCAATCAAGGGATCCTGCTAGAGCAACAGCAACCAAGGTAGCTTTTATATTCTTCAAGATGCCAGACCACCTTAACAGCAGCCTCTCATTCTCCCCACCCCACCCCCAGGAAATAAGCCATCTTTGCCAAGTTCTCACAATGTCCTTCCTTCCCAGTTCATATTATCTTCATCTTACTAACTGGCTTTGGTCCAGTTTCTAATCCCTGCCAAACAGTGAAAAAGCCGGCTGACATCTGTGTCAAACTCTAATGAAACGAGGCATAAAGCTACGAGTGTCAGAAGTGCAGAGACGATGCTGCAGACGCTGGATGAAAACGGTGTTTGGAGAACTGAGAGCTGGGGAATTCCACCACTGAAAGGTCTTTAAGGAAGAAGAATAATGGAAGACTAACTACTGCCGATGGAGGAAAACTGGGGGAAAGGCAACATATGCTTCAGCAGCGCATGATTTAAAAACACCAACATGGACATTTGGTCTTTGGCATGGACATCATCAGGCAATACAATATGCTCCAATTTCACTGCTTCATTTAGTGGAAGCACAGCACCAGTTCATGTGTTACTTTTGCCAGCTCTCTTGCGCATATGCAACTGCTATGCCAGAAAACTGGGCCAGGCCCAGTAGTGGAAAGGAAAAGAACCCAGGTTCAGTTCTGAGCATTTCTGAATAGACTCCTGCCTGAAACCCACGAGGGTTGGTGCCAGTCAGTGTCAACGGCACTGAACTAGAAGGACCCATGATCTGACCCGGTACTTCCTAAGCATGAAACCCAAAAGCTAACCACATTCCATGCTGCATAGGAGTTTGGGGCATGCAGGCTTGTTCAGTTCTCACCCAAAAGTGATCTCAACATCCCTAAGGCATGGCACCGTGAGTGGGAGGAAAGGGTTAGGGTTGGTTATAGGGGCAGGATTAAGAACCCATCTTCTCCAGTGACGTAATGGTGTGTTTCTTATAATGATAGTCCCCATAGCTTTGCCCCCAAGCCAGAGACAAAAAGCATCCATCCACACAGCCTGTCCATGTACAATATACAATGGATATTATATATCCATGCAATGCAGTATGGATATGTTGACCCATATCAAGAAACCATCCATGGAGGCTCACAGGCAAGCCAGAAGCCGGAAAAAGC